CAGTGCTGTGCTTACTACCCTTGTGCTGTCTGGAACTGGACAGAAAGATTTCCAGTCTTCACAACAAGGACAGATAGCCAGTTGTCTATTTTGTTATCATCCCAGCCTGAACCGCAATGCTCTTTCAAACCATGGTGCTGTATAGTGCCGTCAAGACTCTTCCAAGCATGTTATGGTTTCTGTCTCTCTACACCATAACTTCCTGCATTTTTCACGTTTTCTGGAGCTTGTGGCGTTGGAATTCTCCAGTAAATGGCTAGTTTGAAGAAAGATTACCAGGGATGGCATGGAACAAGCACCCTTGTTAGGTGTGTGCAGTCCCGGAGCCGTCAAGAGGCAGAACCCACCTTTGTACCAGTCTTAAAATAGTGAGATACCACCTGGTTAATACAACAGCAGAGCAGCAGAATACAGATAGTCTATAGGCAGAGGGTGCCAGCAATGCAATGGACAAATACCTTTTGGAAAAACTGAAGATGAAGGAAAACTGGCTTGGGATCTGCGAGACTAAACCAGAGCGTTTCATTGTCAATTCAGAAGATGTAATTTCACCTTCTGTTGGAATACTTGTTGAGATAACTTCTCTGGCTATCTATCTCGTGTATCCTTGATGCTATCCATGATGATATGTATCCTGACGATCCATGAAAACTCATGTTAAAATCAGTAGGCTACTGACTTATGTAGCGTATTTAATATAACAGAACTTCACCAAGGGTCTCTCTCAGAGAAGGAAGTCATCTTTCCATGGGATAAAATGAACATTACTAAGCACAGTGTGTTGTGATTAGAGATTTTTTTTTTCTTAGAAAGACAACTAATGTTCTCTTTTAAGACTTCCGTTATGTAAACACTTTCAGCTCAAGATTAAGTTCCCAGCCTTCCCTTGGATAAGCTAACTAGGCTGAAGTCTTCGTTAGACCTATTTTTGGCCTTGGATACTTTGTGATCACTTTGAACTCTCTCCAAATTTTTAACACTATAAAAATGCTGGATGTGAGAATTGGGCACATTCTAGAAGTAATCTTCCCATTAGAAAGAAATAATAGAAATAATATAAATGTTTTTATACACACATCTTTGCAGCCACCATGTGTTCACATCTTTTTGTTCACTTATTTATTTACAGTGATTTTTAAGTCCTCCTCAGAGATAGCTTTCTACGTAGTCAGCTGTGCAGATCTGGTTTTACTAAACTTGCTTTCCGGACAAAGATCATTCACTTGGAACAAAACAAACCAGACCTGAGTCCGTATTTAAGTTTACAGTAACTCCTCCTCCTTTGGTCTCTTTTGGAGAGTCTCCACTCAGAGTTTGAGGGTCACCTTTACAGAGGCTGAACCTGGAAAGTTTCAGTCTGAAAACGAAGGCTCCATTGAAGCTGGAAGCAACTCAAAATAAGTTATATAGTGTGGGAAAGCTAAGTAAGCTACTTGCATTGTTTAGACAACTTTGAATATATGAGTCACAGGTAATGAGTAAAGGAACCATCCTTTGAAATGTAAATTCAGAAACCAGCATTTGGGACAGCTTAAATACGCTTTCGTTGCTCGCTTGTAGATGTTGGTTACTATAGCTACCTGATGTAGCCATTATTTTAATGTGTATTGCACATAGACTCAGAAATATTCTGCCTGGAAAGAATTATGGGAAGATGCTCTTCTCACAACTACTGATTTTTCATTTATTATTACAGACCATTTATTTAAGTAGCTTTGTGAGTTGAATCACAAGATCATACAGCTATGTCTATCTCTCTAGTTCTTTGTGTGCATGACGATGCTAATGTAAGGAGGCACCGACATACGTAGCCTTCTGTCTAAATTAGGTTACTTGCAAACCACCTCAGAGTTCATCGTGTCAGCTCAAAGCCTCTGTACCTTTTGCTGAAGGATTTTCCTCTCATTTTGAAAATGTACCAAGAGAACCAATAACGTTCTGGAGCTTTGCGTAACGTTGCTGGAAGCCTGGCCTGGAGAGGGACAGGGTGATGCTGGATTTGAATTGCCCTGGCTTTGGAAGTTGTGAGGCATTTAGCTTTTTGCACTATTTTGACATTCACAGATGATGCAACATTAACTGAGGAGCTGTATCCATAGCAGAAATATTTTAAAGCTTACTTTGTTTTGGTAATAGTATAAGAGGAATCACATAGAAAACTTGAACCTAAAATGCAGTAAGACTGAAAATGTATGTTGAGTAAATCCATGTCACATTGCTAGGAAGCTTGTCTGGCTGAGCTGACCTCGCGTAGAAATGTTCATCAGCTTCTAGTTGCCCCATCCTTGGCTCTACAGAAATCTCTGGTACTTGGTCTCCTCACTCAAGTGGTGTGCCCTCCCCCCACCTTATTCTTGTTCCGTCCAGAGGTATTGTTCCTTGTACTGTTCTCAGTGTACGGCTTTTTTAAGGCTATAGCAATTTATCTCAAGAGCTGACAGGACATTTTAAAACATTTTTTTGGTCAAAAATGTCAGATAGGGAACATTGGTATGGATCCCAAAGACTCTCGTGATCGAGAACCAGTCAGGGAGATGAGGTTGTTGCAAAATTGTCTTTGCTCCCAGTGATAAATTTAAAGTGACACTTTTAAAGCAATCAGTTTGAATCCCAGAGATTTCTCTTTGGAAAAAAATTAAGACTAAATTGTTTAAAAACTTTGTCAAGTAAATGCCATCTGGAAGACTAAAAGACAAAACTCTTTTTCTGAGTTTTGAAAAATTCAGTCTTGGACTTTGTCCTAAGTTAGGGAAGAAAAAGAAATCTTAATCTCAAACTCTAGGAGTTTGCAAACATGAAAATGCTTTCACATTTAGCCACCGATTTGTTTTGCTTCATTTTTGGCGCTTCACCCTTAGAACAAAGATTATCACGTGGCAGTCTGTAATTCGTAAGAAGACTTTTCTCCTAATGTTTTGACTTTGTTTTTCTCACTTTATATGTTATAGCCTACTTCAAAAATTGCAGAGACTCTTAACAGCAGAGTAGGTGAGGGCCATACGGGCAGGCAATTAGAGGAACCTAGTGAATGTGTGATTCCCTGCAGAGAACGGCAACATTCATTTGCACAGTGGGTTTCATATCTGTTGAAGTCTTTCTTGTTAATAGTATTAAAAGTATCATGTGTGTAAATCATCTTCAGGATGTTAAAAGATTATCATGTTATTGCCAAGAGTGAGCACGCAGGATCTGCTTCCAAACAAATGCAATAACTGCTTGCTTTTAATCCAACACAAGATTGCCTCTTTCAGCTTTATTAATATGTTTAATGTTAGTGAGACGGTTGTTGCTGTTTTGAGGGCTGTTTACTATGAGTTTGGGGAACAAACTGATACTAAAGCTAGAGTCTAGCTCTGATTCTCCCACTGTCTGATGATGATGGTGATCCTTTTTTTAGCAGTCATTAGCATATGCAGAGGAACACCTTTCTGCATGATTTATCCTAATTTACATAAAACCATGATCAATGTGTGTTGCACCTTCAACTTCTACCTAACATCCATGTCCTCCTATAGATGCTTTGTGATCCATTACCACTGTAATCACGTGAACACAGGTGCTCCTACGAAAAACAAGAAAAGCTCTTTCGAAGCAAACTTCTGTGATAACTGCTGCATCAGAGATGCTTCCCAAGGCTGACGGCCTCTCCAGGGCCTCTCCTGGGCTTTTTCAGTTGGAAGTTCCTTAGCGAGCTCTTCGACAGGCACTTTTTGTCTCCGCTGTGGGAAGGACTGGTGCAGGATGAAGATGCTGACCCACTGGTGTCTATTTTCGGTCTGTTCTTTTTGATCAGCGTGGCTTAACCTATCTGTTATTTCATCACCCTTGCCCATCTTCTTTACCAGCATAGCAGAGCCGCCTGGCTAATACACTGTGCATCTCTCCTACCCAAGTGCACCAGAAGAACTGGCCTCTACAGACAAAGGTGTGATATTTTTTAACCCCTCTTCTCTTTCTCTTCTTTTGTGGCAGACTGCTGCCTTGCCCAAACGATGAGCGCAGCCAAACTCCGTTCCAGAAGCATTGCTGAGTCTCTGGCTACTCCTGCGAGCAACCTGCCAGCTCCACTAGCCAAACCAAATGTCTGCATTAGCCCTAAGGGAGGAGGATGAACCATTTTATGGCAGCTGTAAAAGGTCACACAGTAAACACCAGTGCTACTGCTCATCTGTTGTCCCAACTGATCCAAGTAGTTTGCATGTGTGTGGTATGCATGTGAGCAAACAGTTCAAAGCTCTTTCCTGGCTCTTTGAGATTCAGGTTACAAACTAGAGAATTAGCAAAACTTAGTTGATTAATTTGGGTTTGTTCTATCTAGTTTGAGACTGGTTGTTCAAATGAGATGGGTCTTAAGACCTATAACACTTGAAAAAACCTTTGTCTTAAAAAACACATTCTGCCTTTCCTGCATAAATCTGTGCAAGGTCCGGGGCTTTTTGGCTTGCTTTGTTTATACGCATGGGGCATCCCAAGAGATTATAAATATCTAAAAGTCTAATGTTGTTTCACAGTCAGGGATGTACTAGAAATCTTCTAATTTGGCTTCTCCTAAGAACAGAACCAAGCTGTTGCCGTTATTGTGATTAGTTTTCGTATTATGAGTTTAGTAGCCCTTTCCTTCTGCTTCCACAGTTGTTCTTGCAATGTGTTTACATGTTCTCATTTCCTTCAGCCTTCTCTCTCTGCAGGGATGTATTCAGGAGATTGCTTGAAACATCCAATAATGCTACTACTCTCAAATTCTTGTCTTAAGAAAGTTTTGCTTATTTGTATGCTACCGGTTATATTCTGCAGAACAACAGCTAAGTTTTATTGTCCTGGAATGCTCCCTACTCTTCCCCTTCCCCCCATAGATGATAGTTATACCAGAATTTTTTCTCATCTAATTATATTATTTGTAGTCTTTCCATATTAGGAAAATTATCTGCAAACTTTTGTGAGTTTAAAAAAAGAAAAAAAGACAACTTTTCCGTTCTCTCTATCCACTTACATACTGTAACATGAAGATATCCTTTATGTTCTTCAGCGACGTCATCTGGAGAGACTGGGATGATGATGACAGTTGTGAGAAATAGTCAGCTCTGGTTGAGGAACTATTCACGCTGCAGTGGGTCACCATTTTAAAAACATCTGGAGAAGTATAAAATCTTGCGTTTGGAATTGATTCATTATCAAAGTAGCGTTAAAGAAGAACCAACAGCTGGAGAAGCTGATGAATACTGGAAAATGTACTGTGCTATGTGAGCTGCTGAAGAAATGGGACACCTAGGTCTCCGGTAACCCTTCTGGGTCATTAGCTACTTGAAAATTTAGGGGAACAAATAAAAAAGAAAATAAGTAAGTACTTTGAAATTGCAGCTTTCATTGCCTGCATATCCACAGGCTAACATGCAGAGCCTTGCACATTGCACACAGAATATAAAGAATGTACAGTTAATGTGAAACTGGATTAAATCTTCTGTCTGGAATTACATGGGAAATCTGGGAGATTTCAGGGAGAAAAATCTCTTTTCTCATGTAAATGACCATATAAATTCCTTAATTATGACTTGAGTGATTATGTACCAGAAGTACTCACGACCAGAAATATTTTATATTTTAAGAGGGGTAGTGGGGCGGAAGTATATTGGGCAAAACGTTTGATTTGTTATCTGGCACAATACAATAAAGATTTTTTTGCTTTTTACCATAATGTATCCTTGTATTAGACAACGTACTGTGTTTTAATCCTACCTTTTATATCCATGGTCTTTGGTTGTCCTGAGACTTTTGAGCTCTGATCAGCACCTGGTATTTATGGATTCTTTTTTTCCACCTCAGTTCCTTAAATTCATCTTCAGTTGGATTAGGAGAACTCCTGACATCAAAGTCTACCCTTCCACCCACTACAGATGCTCATATCATACCAGCAAAACTTGTACTTTGCACAGTGCCAGATTTCTGAGTCACTCGAAGATTTTTAAAAAAATTAAAGTTTATAATGGTGCCTTGGAAAATATGACATCACTGGGAGTTTCTCACAGAAGTTTTCTGCTCTGAGAGCATCCAGCAGGCCACGCTTACACAGTTCCCACCGTGCAGAGTTTGGATCATCCTAAATCCTCATATTCTTTCTTGCCACCAAATCCCAGAATTGATCAGGCCTGCAGAGCGAAGGGGTGAAAAGTGGAGGACAAGTAGAAAACAGATGTAGAAAACATCTTCAGGAATGTCACTTATCAGTGCATGGAATGAAGCAGAGTTCCTATGTAAGAAAGCATAGAATTAAAACTACAATAAATCCACCATGAAATGGTGATCTAGGTTATACGATACTTAAACTCCATCAAAGCAGTTTTGGCCCTATCTGTATTAGTATTTTGAACATGAGCCGGCAGTGTGCCCAGGCGGCCAAGAAGGCCAATGGCATCCTGGCCTGTATCAGAAATAGTGTGGCCAGCAGGAGTAGGGAAGTGATCGTGCCCCTGTCCTCGGCACTGGTGAGGCCGCACCTCGAATACTGTGTTCAGTTTTGGGCCCCTCACTACAAGAAGGACGTTGAGGTGCTGGAGCGTGTCCAGAGAAGGGCAACGAGGCTGGTGAGGGGTCTGGAGAACAAGTCTTATGAGGAGCGGCTGAGGGAACTGGGGTTGTTTAGCCTGGAGAAAAGGAGGCTGAGGGGAGACCTCATCGCTCTCTACAACTACCTGAAAGGAGGTTGTAGCGAGGTGGGTGTCGGTCTCTTCTCCCAAGTAACAAGCGATAGGACAAGAGGAAATGGCCTCAAGTTGCGCCAGGGGAGGTTTAGATTGGATGTAAGGAAAAATTTCTTTACTGAAAGAGTGGTGAAACATTGGAACAGGCTGCCCAGGGAAGTGGTGGAGTCCCCATCCCTGGAAGTATTTAAAAGACGAGTAGATGAGGCACTTAGGGACATGGTTTAGTGGACATGGTGGTGTTGGGTCGACGGTTGGACTCGATGATCTTAGAGGTCTTTTCCAACCTCAATGATTCTATGATTCTAGTTTGTCAAACAAACTTTATGAAGGCGGCTACACTGGGAAAGCCGTGTTTAGACTTCAGCACTTGTTTTCAAACATGAGTCAAAGCCCGGAGCCTTGACACTTCACGAAGCTAAAGTTTATTTTGAGGATTTGGATGTGGCACGCAGGTGGTCTGAGCAGCTGACCACAAAAGGAATAACCAACTGAAGTGGTTATTACACTGGAATTATCCATAGCGCAGCATGAAAATGGGCAATCAGTCGGAAGAGGAATTATCTTTCAAGATGCTTTACAATTATAACATCATCAAAAAAACCCCAGTATTTGAGGTATATTTTCTTCTTCCTTGGAAGCCTTCCTAAACTCCTAGGTACCACCTACTACGTATCTTTTCAGGACTGGACCTTCAACTTTTTGTCCTCCATCCATAGGTGAGAATTTTGGGCCATCACTACAGCAATAGTGGCAGATGGCACAGAGCTACATGACCCAATATATGATTATTCTTTCTGCTCACCATAGTTGAGATTTTTCCTTTTCTTGCAATTTCTTTCCTTGGAAAGCGTGCTGATGCAGTTGAGACAACTCTTACTCCCCTTTCCCCCCAAAAAAACCCCAGTTGGCCACATTGAGCAATTAATTTCTGTAGTAGAAGGTAAGAGGAACAGTGGGGAATTACACACCAGACACTGACTATAGGTCAGGAGCTTAGATGTGCACGGAAACAGTAGGAAAAAAGAAAGCAGTTCTTCATGTATTTTCCAGTATAGTCTGAGTGTCTCTTTGCAGACGGCAGCGTGGGAGGAAAACTTGGAATTCCAAAATACAGTCCTGGTATCTAAAAAGCTCTTTGCAAAAGCAACTGACTGCAGGAAACAGAACAGGGCAGATCATCTTTAAATTGCTCTTAAATTTGAGACTTGACTTTTGCTTTTTTTTCCATTTCGCCCAAATGTAGGAAGCAGCGCTCACTCTTTCCTGTATGGGTGAAAGATTTTTCTGTGGACGCTCCATTTCAGCAACATGGCAATTTGAACGTGGCTTTAGAAAGTTGGTACAGTGGAGACCACGCAGTCGTTTTCCCAGGAGAATACGAGGCTGTAAACTTATCCCTGTTAACTAAAGATGTTATATTGGACCTTAGTGTTGTGTTCTCTTATAATTCACCTCTGTCTTTACGAACTGTAGCTCAAAAGTAGTCCTGATTAATGGTTCTTAGCAAATCATAGGGAAAAGTACATTTCCCAGAGCTTTTCACGGATTAAAAACTTGCAGTGTGAAAATAAACAGCAGAGTATAATTTGTTAGGTACTACCTAGGGAAAAAATACTGTGCAACTGGTATACTGTATAGCAGGAATTCAGTGAAAAATCAGTTTCATAAAACATATATATATAAAAAATAGATGTTTTTTAAAGCAGCATAAAGTTAAGCAGTAATAGCACCTCTAAAGTAGGCAGGTCCTCTTCCCTGATGGCTCTTGAAAGGTACGATTTGGGTTTTTTTATTTTTTATAAGAACATCAATATCAGCACTGTATTTAACACTCCCATAAGGTGACAGGTTTAATAAGAAATTAGCACCAGCAAACTTTCCAGCCATACTTCAGCAAATCACACCTTGCAGGTCTAAAGCTTGCAAGCACCGTTTATCTAAATGCCTGCACTCACTCATGCACGTTTCCTTGTTCAGGTTGATGCCTACACCATCATATGGTCTTGCATCTTGCAAAATACGGCATTGGGTTCCAAGTTTATCTTTTACTCCATCAATTTTTTATGCTTTTTAGTACCCTGAAAATAACACAAAAGTGCTCCTTCAGCTGCCCGTCAGTTCTGGCGTGCTGTTCTAATGCACGTTACCTCCAGGGGAGAACAGTCACTGAAATATATCCTGCTAAAGCCGGCCCTTCTGCAACACGAAGGCTTGTGCTAACCAGTAAAGCAAAGCTCCCAGCAGAAATACAGATAAACTGAAGCTATTTCTTGCACCTCAGTCTTTTAGTCCCCCCCTTTTCTGCCCAGACACAGGCACACTTAAAATGCATGTGCTTCACCAACACTAAGGCAGCATCTCTTGCTTCTTTAAATGACCTCCTGCTTTTAAAAGCCAGTGCCTCATGCAAAGCTACTGGTGAGGACTTTTCATTCAGCTTCTTTTAAGGATGCCTTAATGCCGCTTTCTGTTACTGCTGAGAACAATGAAATACCAAATGGGTTTCAGAGCTCTTGACAGTGTCAGGAGAAAAGCACCAGGAAGCTAGGGAGCAGGCAACGAGTGAGATCTGGAATGAGGCAATAGAAAACGTCAGTGAATCTCAGAGCTTGCGTGTGCCAGTGAAGCGTGCCCTTCTGCTCCATACAGCAAGGCCACACACTCTCAACAGACAATCTTTGAACCAAGAAAGTGCTTTTAGGCAGCCATTTTCAGGTCTTTTTCCTGTCAAAGCTCCGGGTGAGCTTCTGATTAGAAGTGTTCATCTCCATCTTTTTTTGCTGTTTTTAAACTCTTATTACATCTCTTTTTCAGAGACAGGTAAGGCGGCATCACTATCTTGCATGCTAAGCCACCCTCCTCAATAAAGTTTTATCTGTGACATTAGCTTTCCTCTGGCTGGCATTCCTCACCCCATTTTTGATTTGGAGGTAGGAAAAGAGATCAATTAGGTAATTGCAATGCTAATTCGGTCAGTTTTCTTAGGAACAAATTCAATATGGGCACGCTTTTAACACATGCTCTACAGATCAAGTACAAATGTTTCTAAGTAACTCCATAGAAAAAATCTTCCTGTAAAGAAACTGCTTAAGAGCAAAGACTTTCTTTCAAGAGAAAGACTCATCCTCCTTGGAGATGGTGGTCTTGAGATCAGTGGGATACCATTAATGCCGATGCCACAACTGACCACCAGGTTCTCCTTCAAACTTTCTCCAAGTAAAGATCATAGCATAGTTCTGCTGAATTTTTCTCCATTGGTGGAAATCTCCCTACGGCTGGAGACGTTTTTCAGTTCTTACCCTGGAGTACGTTATATGACTTGCTGCCTGAGTACTACCGTGTAGAGTAGACAAATCTGCATATTTACTCTAACAGAGCAATAAAAGGCAGACTCTCAGATTTCCTCTCTGGCTCTGAATATCACCTCAAAGACAAAAGTGAATGTGCCGCGCTTCTCATCCCTCCTGCGCGGAGATACACGTTATCTATGCCTTTGTGTTTTGTGTTCCGATTACCAGGCTTTTGAAACAGAGCAGTCAGTTTGCACGAACAGCGTTCGTGTTTTGTTTAATGCAGCATGGTACATGCAATCAGGCAGGCAAGCAGGGGGTCCATTTGAAGAAATTAAGATAAAAAGTTGGTTTAATGGCAACTTCGTAACTTGTTGGTAGCATTTTTAGTATTTATGTGAGAGGTTTTAAAACAAGCAAGATAAAAATTCAAGTAACCAACTGACAAGTGTTATCCTTCATATTATGGTTTTGACACTATCGTCAATATTACTTTCACCTTTCTCCTTTTCCACTTGGAACTAGAAAACCAGAAGAACCCATGATTGCTTCCAAACCCCATCATGAGAGCTTTGTGGTTTCAAAAGCCAAGATACAAACCTAACGCACCTTAGGTCGGTACAGCAGAGAACAGTCAGTGGTGTCGTGGCTGCTGAATCTGGCGTCTGCACTCACTGGGGCTTCTCTGACCATCACAGATAGCAAGATTACTGGAGCTCAGGTAGTTCATTCTTCTTGAATTTCAGATAATTAAATTTGTTGTACAAGAGATGTAAGAAGTGCTCTGACAAGCTGGCTTTTTGAAACAAAGCACAGATCAATTTACTGACACAGTAAACTCATCACAAGCTCAGTTTTTACTGTGAAAACGTACATGTCATTTCAGGTTAATTTTCAGTTTTCTGTACCCAGGCTGTTTAAGCTCCTCATTAGCATGTCAATCCTTGTTTAGACTGTGCTATTCATTTCTGGCACGGGAAGCGTAGGCAAGGATTACTGCTTTCCCACTTAACTGGTCCTGATGGATTAGGTATTAAAAACCAGACTGAAATTGTTAAGCGGTATTTTCATGCTTGATGCTCCTTAATATGTAAAACAGTAGCACATAGATAAAACCAACTAAGCTGTAATTTGTAGATGCTAAATAGTCCACGGCACCTTCTCCCACCACAACCTGCGACCTGAGCGGTCCTTGGGACCAGGTATCCTTGCAAGCTCCATCCCAGCAGCAACTCCCGATGTAGGTGGGTGACCTACACAATTTTGTATGTTATTACACCAGGCTGTACTCTTAAATGCCATTTAGTTTTTCTAACAATTCTTACAAGCAACATGAAATTAGATATAACCTTTTTGTTAATGAACAGGGCACTGGTGTTGAGCTGTACCCAAGAAGCACAGCTATCTTAGAGACTTACAAAATTCATCACTGCAATAGTACCAGAACCAGTGAGACCTCACACATCATAGCCAGGGTGGCATTAACGTTAAGGTAACATTTTTTGTTCTTTTTCCAGTAATAATAAATAATAGCTTTACCGTTACAAATTGAGTAATTTTTGTAAATAGACCTGAGAAACATCAACTTCAGTCTAAAAAGGGAATTTCTTTATCTAGGACTTAACATCAAAGTATCCCCAGTAAAACCATTTTTAGCTAGTATCATAGAATATTGTACATACACTTGATAATCCCTGGTATCCTATTCCACCTCCTAAAACTTACGAAATTAGAAGCAGGGAAAAGCTAATGATAGTTACGTAGTTGCGGCAAAGGGCCCCACTACACATCAAGACCTGATCAGAACAAAACTTTAACTGAAATAGCAGGACTCAGTCATGGAAACGCCAGCAAAGCTGCTCTCCAAAGGGAGGCCAGCTCACTGGAGTTCATCTGAATATAGGCTGAACAGTCGAACAGCCTATAGCTTGTAGGGCCCTTAAGCTCTGGTCTGTGCTCACCTTGCACCCATCCCTCCTGCCTCCTGTTTAAATGCTGACTTCTTTTGAAGACCAGGAACAGCTAGAGAGGAAATTAGAAAGCTTTAACAGCTATTAGATCATACTTAAGCCTTGTAGGCTTGATACTGAAATTATAGTTCTCTTTAAAACCATTGGGACACCTGCTTCACGTTTCCAGTTTTGTGTTAGTAACACAACTGAGATAACACAACGTTTGAGGGGCAAGCCAAGGAAAGCAAGTTTTGCCTGGATGCGATAAATACAGATGTGGAAAGGGAAGGTGGCTAACACTACAGCACATCTTTCAATGTCCATCCCTTCTGATTCCCTAACAGGTTGTTCCTGGAGAAGAAAAATAATCACATTTTCAGTAATAGTGGCACGGAGTGACCATTCTTCAATCTACAGAAAAGTCTACAGAAAGGAATCAATCAGCAGAAAGGATTGTGGAGTTTACTGCATCAGGCTGTGCAGAAGAAGATACACACTCCAAATTAATCCCAGATTTAAGTTTGAAGATGAATACTGATACACTTGTTGATATCAGAGATAGCTCTCTAATTCGTAGCTGGATATCTAGGCTTCACGTGGCATTTGGCTTTTAGCAGTTTTGATTAAAGAAACAGTGCTTCACCCTTACCTGGTTTTTAAGAACTTTGTTAGAAATACAAAAAATGTTGGACTTGCTTTAAACTTCACTCAAACACCAACATCTCCCACACCCCTGTAAGCACAACTAATTATTGCTTCTGAATAAGCTTTCCAGTTTATTCCAGATTAGTGGGGAGGTGGGGAGGTTAATCTCGCCAGGCTTGGTAGCATAACAGGTTTCATACTGAGCTGTGCCCACAGACATCTCGCTGTGCTGCTGGGGCCCTGCAGTACAAAGTGTGTGCAAGAGGCAGTACCTGCCTGCTGCCACTCCAAGCCAGCACAGCTGGATTTGTGGCCATGCTGTAAGAGAGGTAAAGTTAAAAAGAGTTTTGGCCAAAAAAAAATCCCAAAGTTTATTCCAGATTAGTGGGGAGGTGGGGAGGTTAATCTCGCCAGGCTTGGTAGCATAACAGGTTTCATACTGAGCTGTGCCCACAGACATCTCGCTGTGCTGCTGGGGCCCTGCAGTACAAAGTGTGTGCAAGAGGCAGTACCTGCCTGCTGCCACTCCAAGCCAGCACAGCTGGATTTGTGGCCATGCTGTAAGAGAGGTAAAGTTAAAAAGAGTTTTGGCCAAAAAAAAAATCCCAAAACCATTCATATACGCACATTTATTGTAAACTGAAGTGCTTCCCTCATCTCGTTCACACAGGTGTTCCTGCACAACACGGCCTGACTGTAGAAAACCCTTGAGAGTAATCTGTACCTGCAGGTACCCTGTGTCATCCACCCCTGCTCCAGGTCACTTCCCAGGTGCTAGTCTGAGAGGTACGGAGGAAACCACACCTCACTGGAGGGCTTTTTATCCCCTCTGTGTCGATATACTTCTGCAAGCACCAGGCAGCCAGCTGAGCTTTGAATGTCCGGAATCCACAGGCTGCAATTTCAATGAATTCTAATTAAAGAATTGCCCTCTTCCACATGTATTTGGAAGAAGGAAGCATGACTACTTTGGAGTAGCAATGTAAATGAACACTGCCTCAGATGAAGGGCACAGTTCACGCTCCTGAGATCGCTTCAGGTTCTGCAGAGACAAGCAGCATCACACCAGTCTTGACAAAGGTATTCCATGTTCCCGCATTATCTGAATCAGCAAAAGAGCTCATCAGCTGCCGTGCCGGGAGGTGCAACACGGCATGCAGTAGGCCAGTGGCTGGCTGCAAAGGAACCAAGTGCTGCCTGGCAGAGACAGAAAACCACTGCAGCAAGGGCTGTTTGCAGTTTATTAGACAACAAAGAAAAATCCCCACTGAGCCCAGGTTCTGTAATTTGAAATTTGTATGGCAGAGAATGGTTTTAGACAATGAAAAGGTTTCCTCAGAATGCCTTATACCTCCTACAACCAAAACTAGCAACAGACGGCTTCAAAATCTAAATCCAAATCCAAAATTAAACGTATAGCATCTAAGTCTTTAAAAACAAACTCTTTATTAAGAATAAAATCATACAACTTGCAGTAAATTCCCTAAGGGCACGATATATTACAGAGCTGTACTTGTACTAAGGAACTGAAATGGCAAACAGACTGGTAACAGCAAGAAAGGGATTCGGGAGAGAAACACGCTTTTGTCAAAGTGGAAAGACTTCACTGAACTTCCATAACTACCACCCGCCCCTCCCCGGATCCCCACAGCCTCCTCTGTAGCCACCGCCTGCTCCTCGATAGCCTCCCCCACCTCTGTAGCCTCCCCCCCAGCTACCTTGGTATCCTCTCCCTCCTGAGCGCTTGCCAGAGTAGCTGTAGCCACCGTACCCTCTACCTCTGTAGCCAGAGCCATGCGGGTAACCTCCCCAGCCTCTGAGGCCACCTCCATTGTCGTAGCGAGCCATTTTGGGGGGGCGAGGACCATCTCCGAACCTGGCAAAGAGAAACATTATATACTTGATGCAATCTTACAGATTCCATTTTTTTTAATATTAAGAAGAACAATCAATTGCCAAGATACTTAGCTAAGATGCCTCTATTTTCTGTTAACAGAATATGATGTTTGAATTACAGTTGCACTTTTGCACCTTTTCCACTTCAGTAAAGAAAAGCTGGGAATGGCCTGCCGTGCCACATAAGCAGTCCCTCCTCTACATCTCAGCCAGATCTACACCTGGGATAGAAAGTTTTCCCCTCAATCCTGTTTCTCCAGTTCACACAAACACATAGGGAGCCCCGTTTCTGTTTATGTGAGCACAGTGATCTTTATTTTGCTCCTCGCAAAACACAGTGAAGTGTACATCCAAGCTGTTCTTTGCTTTGATGCTTAAATTACTAACAGCTCACAGGCGTTTTCACTTTTCTTTGCTTCAGAAGCAAGACATGAAAACAAGGGGCAATGGAGGGGTGCAAGCACAGCCAAATATTTGTTTTATTTCCAGAGACAGAGATTAATAGGTTTGCCCAAAATAAATTTGGGTTATCTTTTCTTTAAAAGTCATCGTGCTTTGGAAGAGGCGATGACAGCTTTTACTCCTGAGAGCCGTTTGTCCTTCCTCTTTCCAAACAGGCAGTGATCTGTCTGCATCAGACTTTGAACATGACAATTTTACATACACTCAGACTATTGACTTTGAAATGAAAGCCTGAAGCTCCTGTCCACACGGGACAAGACTCTCTTGGTGATTTTAGCTCTGGGCTTCTGCAGCCACTGTGCAGGGAGGGAGCAGTGGAGCTGACAGCTCTGACCTGCTCTTTCAGGCTCTTGGTGTCCCTGGGGGCAGAGGTGGTGAGCACTCCTTGCCCCGGAGCTCCGACTGCACAAGCCAACGGAGCCGAGCTAACCTTGCTTTGGCAGCCATGAGGCTGATGCCCGCGGCTGACGGCCTGGAGATCTGACGGATCACATTCAGCATTTGCTCATTTGCTGGGTCCAGCTGCCGAATGATCTCAGGATCTTTAGTCACTTCCACAACAAGAGCCTCCATCGCAGCACGCAGAGCAGTGATGCAGGCAGCCGTGTTGTGGGGCACCTTCAGCTTGATCCTACAGCAGAAAGAAGTATATTAGATGTATCACGACTTCTAGGAGAGAACCTGTTATGAAAGGTGTTCTGTGGAGTGGTTTTTCATTGAGTGCTGCACATACTGAGCCAGAAATCTATATTATCATCTTTGAAATTCTAATTTGTCAATGAAGGGACGTGAAATTCAGGAGGCAAATTTGCAAGATGCCTAAAATTTGACATTGTTAAAACGTTAACTATCCTTCTGTTTAAATTTGCTCTTGAGATTTAACATACTCAGATAACACCAATGCGTAACCCCTAGCATCAAAACAGATACAAAAATATAAAGTAAACAAAGACATGAGTCTCCTCAAGATTTTGAAAGCTCCAGGTCACCCTCAAAAATATTAGTGAATTGAGCTTAAGCAATTCTTCACCTCCATTTTACTGACCGGGGGTGGTGGAAGACATCCAGGTGGTATTTGGTCATGGCCATGAAATGTATGCTGCCAGACGCAACCACGAAATCCTTAGCATTTCTCTCCTCAAACTGTGTTTCTGAGACTTAAAAACAAGGTTTCCTTGGCCCTTCTCCGAAGGGGAGGTCCAAAATACATAGTACCTCTTATTCGTGTTCCAGCTGAAGGGGAACAAACCAGCCGTTTTTATGGAAACTGCCTGGTATCACGTTTTCAATTTAAGCAGGTAATCTGCATGAAACAGTGCTGCCAATATAAACCCCTGCCTTCCTCACAGGAAACAAAGGTAATGCCTCCACAATTAACCTGTAGCGCGTGGCTTGCTCTAGGGTTCCTATTCTGTAGAGATTTATGTCTGTGTTAGCAGCTGCTCCCCCTCAGTCTGTGTTATTTCATAGACCTGAACATTACGAGCACCAAGGAGGTCCATACCAGTCATCTACCAGAATGAGCTCCCCATCCGACAGGACTTTCTTGGAGGCAAAGAGAAGCAGCTGCAGCGGGCTCACCAAGGTCATTGCTTTGGCAGAGATGGCTCGTGTTCGAATCTGCAGGTGGAAGAGGAATAAGACTCTTGAAATGGAAAACAGATCCCTACACCTTCCTCTGGCCACTGAAACCAGAGAATTTTGTAAAAACAACGACAAAAAAATCTAGGTACAGTGTTAGGAAATTACAAGAGCACACGTGCATACAAAACTGAATGCTGGGCAGATATTTACAGGGATTCAGCACTGGCTGGTGTAAAAAAACACCAAAAACTACCTGTCATTTAAAAGTATTCATTTTTCCATGACTGCATGTCTGCAATTATGCAGCTGACATTTTGCAAGAGCCATCTCATGTTCTGTCAACCTAAAAATGACCAAGGCATAGCTGAATTATCTTCCCACCTTCTGTATTGCTGAGGCTGTGATGAAAAGCTCATGTTGCTTCTTTAGCAGGGTTCTACACATGCAAACTTGGAAGTTGCTACACGTCTGTGCAACCAGCCCGCTTTGTCATTTTATAGAAACAAGACCTTAAGCTTGTACTTGAAGTGAGCACTTGGACAATAACAAGCCGTCTGACCTGAGCCAGAGATAACAGCACTGACTACATGGGCTATTGCCCTTCATTTTAAAGAGGAACTGAAGAGCAGTACTTGGGATTTCAGCCTCCCACCCTGACAGCTGCCTCTCTCCCTCCTTTCTTTCACACAGGAGCGTGATGAGCAGAATCCGTTGTACTTGTTTGTCCTCAGGGTGAATATTTGCTCCTGCCTGGAAGTTATCACACATGCTCAAAAGAAAGAAACTTCCATAATGGAAATTTTGGCAGAAAA